GTCTTATACAGATCCTTCTGCAATTCATCCAGGTTGCCCCATTCTTGCTCATTGAAATGAACAGAAAAGTGACTGGAATCTGGAAATACAATAGCAGGGTTACAGTTTTAGTATTCTCTGGCCTCCAAATCCTGTATGTTTAACAGCAAGTTGACAAATACCTGTTGGATAAATTGGAGTTAAGTTGCATACTGGGGAGGAAAAAACAATATTTTTAGCACACAAAAGCCTACTAGCTTTCTCTAGATCAGGGGTGTCTTGGCAACTTTAAGACTTGTGGACTTTCAATCCAGCCAGAATCCCCCAGCCAGCATGCTTTTAAGAGGAGAGGACTTCAACTCCCAGGATTTAATTTAAGAGACCTTCCTCCATATTTGCAGAATTCAAACTGTACAGGTAGTACTCAACTTATGACTACAATAGAGCTCCAAATTCCTGTTTCTAAGCAAGATTAGGAATTTTGCCCCATTTTACAAACTTTCTTGCCACAGTTGTTAAGTGAAACACTTAGCTGGGGGATTCTGGGAATTGAAGTCCCCAAAAGTTCTTAAAGTTTGGAGATCCCTTATCTACTGTAAATAAACAAATCTGATTGAAAAAGGAAACTTGGAAAGAGTCAAAATCTCCCAAATGTGTCAATAATTCAGGCTTCCCCAAACCAACAATGTAGGACTCAGCCTGATGCTGAAACCAGTCAAGGCAGTCTCTGGCTCAAACCAACTAGGTAACATCCTCAGTGCAAGGAGGGAATGGGGTTTGTGGGGTGAAGAGGAGAGGAGAGGAGAAAGAGAAGGGGAAGACAAGTGTGTAGTGTTCATTGAGTGTTGCTGTTTTCTTCCAGACTTTTCATGACTCAACCAGGTAACATCAGCAGTGATAGAAGGGAGTGAAGTTTGCGGACAGGAGGAGGAGGAGGAGGAGGAGGAGGAGGAGGAGGAGGAAGAGGAGGAGGAGGAGAAAGAGGAAGAGGAGGACGACGATGACGACCGTGAGCCAGGGTAGCCATATAAATGTTCTTCTTACAGGTCATCCTCACCAACAATTACACCACTGAAAAAAGTGAAATTTCATATTTAACTATTGCAGCATCTCCACAGTCACAAGATTTAAAATCAGATGCTTGGCAGCTGACTCATACTTAAGACGGTTGCAGTGACCCAGGTCATGTGATCCTCTTTTCCCACTTCTGACAAGCAGTCAACCAGGGAAGCCAGATTCACGACCCTGTGACTCATTTATTGGCAGTGATTCCCTTAACCACTGGCAAAAAATGACGTAAAATGGGGCAAAATTCACAATGTCTCACTTAGCAACAGAAAGGTTGGGCTCAATTGTAGTCCTAAATTGAGGACTACCTCTATCTATCTATCTATCTATCTATCTATCTATCTATCTATCTATCTTCCAAGAATATCTGCTCCTCATCTAAATATGATCTAAGTGTTCCCAGCATGTTTAAAATTGAGAGCAACTGCACTGATCACCAAATGCAGAGAAACACCAAGGACCTCTCAGCGCTCGTCTCCTCCTGCAAAAACCCCACACTCTCTTCTAACACTGAAGACATTCCTAGTTGGGTCATGAAACATCTGCAAGAAAACCGCTAAGCCCGGAGATTACTAGGGACAGTCCTTAGAATAACTTTATCATCACTTTGAATGTACAGTAAAATGAAATTCCGCTGCATACAGTTCTCACCACCTCCAACACAAACTATGTAAACATGACAAAGGGGAGAGAGAGAGAGAATAGAGGATGGATGGATGGATGGATGGATGCATGGATAGATAACAGTAGATAGATAGATAGATAGATAGATAGATAGATAGATAGATAGATAGATAGATAGATAGATAGATAGATAGATAGATAGANGGCCACGCCCAGGCCTTCCTCAGCCACCAGGCCAGCCACGCCAACGGCAAGAGGCACCAGCGCTGCACCGAGTGCCTCAAGACCTTCGCCCGCAGGAAGTATCTCCTGGAACACCAGCGCATGCACACGGGGGAGAACCCCTACACCTGCCCACACTGCGGCAAGCACTTCCGATACAAGCAGTCACTCAAGCAGCACCTGCGCATGCACCGGGAGCAACCACCACCTGCGCCTGCTGTGCCACCAAGCCTGCCAGGTGCCAGCTCCCTAGAGAAAGACCCCCTCTTCGAGACCAACCCCCCCAGTGGGACCTGAAGCTGGGCTACAAGAGGTCTTTTGTGCCACATGAACCGCTGGCCTACAATTGGCCCGTTGGTGGGCCGGCTAAGATCCTCGCTGCCTTCCGTGGGGCGGCTCCAGTGCTTCTTCTCTCCCCACGGAGAGGCTCCCTTCTTGCTTGCTGATCAGGACCGTGTGGGGCAGGCTCTAGTCCTGTGGAATGAGCCCAGCTCCCCGCGATCAGAACACTCCAACCGTCTGAAATATTTCTTCAATGGAGACCGCTGCCGAAAGACTGTCGCCGCCGTGCACGGCCGTCCGAGGAGTTGCAAGTCCTGGCCGAGCCGGAAGAAAAATGCGCCTAAAATGTGATCATGTCCCATTACCCAGCCCAGCACTGGAGGCCGGCCTGCTGGGGTCAAAAGGGCTGCACCCTGAGTCCGCGGTCCCCTCGCCTGCAGGGAGAAAGACAGACTCCCCAAGGTCTCCGTGCACGGCTGTGGTTTTCTGGCCTCGCCCTCCACACCCTCCGCTAGATGATCAGAAGAGCGTTTGAAAGCACTTCGCGTGCGGCAGGCACAAAAGGCAGCCCAAAACTCAAGAATTGAGACTGGCCCCTGACTCTCCTCTCCGGAGGGCCACGCAGGGCAGCTATCTACGGGCAATTTCGGAACAATTCCACACTCTTGGTCCACAGGAGTTGCCCACTCCTCAAAAGATACCCTTCCTTATTTCTCTCCTGTTGAAAAAAAAAAAAGCTCCATTGTCAAACTCCTGGCTTATCAGTTTTCTGCCAGCGTCGACCTCTGCCAAAAATCTCTTTTGCCGAAGTCTCAGCTGCGGTTTTCCATGTGGTACATTTATCGCTGAGACTCTTGACGGGCTCCCAGTTCTTATGCCCTCTCTGCCTGTTCAGACAGTGACGTGAAATCACGAGTTTGGCTCTGTCTCTTCAGATTCTTTGTCACTAAGAGGTTGTAGCCCTCACATCATTCCCTCCTGTCCTGAAAAGCTGCCCACCCCCTCAAAAAGAAAGAAGACTCTGTAAGCGACCCTAAAACCATGGCCATCAGCCGAGACCTCCTGCCCACTTCCACACCAGGTTCTCACTGCTTTCTCAATTTGCAACAACACTACCTGTGTTACTCTTTGATACAGGTAGTCCTCGACATGCAGCAGTTCATTTAGCGACCGCTGAAAGTTACAACCGCATGAGAAAAGTGACGTTACTGCTTTGACACATACAACCGTTGCAGGATTCCCTGCGTCAAGTGACCCCAAATTTAGGCGTTTGGAAACCTGCACGTACTTTTTAACAGCTGCTGTGTGTCCCTCGGTCGCGTCATCCCATTTTGCGACCTTACGACTTGCAAAGACAACGGGGGAAGCCAGAACCACTTAGCAACCGAGTGACTAACTTAGAAACCGCAGTGATTTACTTAATGACCATGGCAAGAAAGGTTGTAAAATGGGGGGAGGGGTTAAATTGGGGGGGGGAAGGCTGCATTCCCTAGTGGCATCTTGCAAAGTGGGTAAGTGGTCCCGAAGTTGCGTGCAAGCATGCTGGATTGTCCATTCGATACTCTGAAGTGTTTTCGGGGCCCCGTCCTCACCTCATTCCAAGAGGGGGGAGCAGAGAGAGAGTCCTGCCCATTCCAACCCTCCGCCTACCTATTGCTAGCAAGCCTATCCCTGTTCCATTCTATGTCTGTTGGCCAAAACAGTGAGGCATGGCTTCCTAAAGCCCAATACAGGCAGTTCTTGACTTACAAGTCACAGTAGCCATTTGGAGCAACACTCAGCCTTGAAAAGGGGACCTACAACTCAGATCCGAAGTTCTGGCAATTGCACTCTTGTATGGTCACATCCTCACACGTGGGGCTGTTGGCCATACAGCCGCCTCATCCACAGCCGTTTTGCAGCAACTCACGGGGACACACAACTGCCTTCGGCAGAGGTTTTGTTGAACATGGTTCTTAGTTTCTGTTTCTTGGCAAAACGGTGCTGTGGCAAACAAGGGATCCGCTTCTCGACTGCAGTGATACTCCGTACTGACTTGAGCAAATAAATTGTGCTACGTGTGATACCAAACCAACATTGTGCATCCGTTTTCCCAGACAAGGCAGATCCTACAAAATCTTTTTTCAACTCTTTCAGCCTTTCCTCATACAACTCACACAGCTCCCAGTACATCACAAACACAGACACACACTTTCACTGAATATGATTTGAGGGGGGGGGGAAATATAAGGAGAAAGAACATTCGGTCTAGTCCAGTGGTGAAGGTACTAGGTTAGAAAGTAGGAGACAGTGAATTCTAGTCCTGTCTTAGGCATGAAAGTTGGCCGGGTGACTTTGGGTCAATTTCCTTGTGCTGCCTTAGCCTATGAAAGCTGGTTTGGTAACTTTCAGCCAATCACCTGGAGACAGTGATTTCTAGTTTTGCCTTAGGCATGAAAGCTGCGCGGCTGATCCTGGTGATTACCCATATCACTTTGATGGTTTAAGGTGGGACTAGTAATTGGCCAGTGTCACCCATTCAGCTTTCACGCTTAAGGTGGGACTACATTTCCCCATCTCCTGGTGATTGACCCAAAGTCACCCATTCAGCTTTCACACCTAAGATGGGACTAGAATTCATTGTCTCCTGGTTTTTTGGCACAATTATATGCGAACTATTAAAGCGATTATTTTAATCGAAGAACAATATATAAACAATCCAGGTTTAGGGCCCACAATCGGGAAAGGATAACTCAGTCACTAAGTAATGCAGTCCATAAAGGGGGGGGGATCACAATTTTACTTTTTTCCATTCATACGCAATTTCTTACAATTCTTTTCGTACGCAACTTCTATTAGCCTTCAATGAACCAAGCTACACTTCACATGTTTTAAAACATCTTTATTTCTAAAGAAATCGATTTAGTCCACCAAGGAACCGAAGATCATTTCCAATATTTAAAAACATCCTTGATCTAACGTGTATTATTATTACTATTAAGAGCCATCATGTTGTGTTACAGTACAAAAATAAAAGAATACAAAATCAGTGTTTACAATTACAGTACTGTACCTGTAAACATCAATAGAAATCCCCTTCCAAAGATTAGACTTTTTTGCTGCGTTATTGGAAATGTTGGACACTGAGGCCTAGAAGCCTAATAAACTGAGCATCTTCTGGCTTCTTCTCTTTTTCAGGATGGGGAAGGAGAGGTGAGCAAGAAATAGCTGTCCATAAAAAAAATTCACTAAGTTTTCTTTGCACATTTTCTTCATCTATTTTCTTAGCACACATGCATTTACCAATGTAGCTTTCCAAAACGTTCTACATTCGGATCCATACGTCCTAATTTTTGTAGCGTTTCATTAACTTGAGGAAACATCGGTCAATATTTTCACATGGACTTCCTGGACTCCCAATATAACTTTCTAAAATGTTGTACAATTAGATCCATACTTCCTTTTTTTTCCATAAATTTCATTAGCATCTGAGAAAACACCAATCAATATTTTCACATGAACTTCCTGGGCTCCTGATATAGCTTTTCAAAATATTCTATATTGGGATCTATACTATTTTTGTAAAAATTTCATTAACGTGAGAAAACCCTGGTCAATATTTTTCACATGAACTTCCGGGGCTCCCCAATATTAGCTATCCAAAACATTCTACATTCGAATTCATACTTAATTTTCATAACATTTCATTAACATCTGAGAAAACACCAGTCAATATTTTCACNTTGCGGTTCCTCAGCAGGTTCTCCAGGTTCTCCAGCCGCCGTTGGAGCCGCCCGTACTCCTGGACCAGGCCCCCCAGGGCGGCCCATTTGCCTTCCAGCTGACTGCCCAGCTCGGTTACCGTCCTCTGGCAACCGCCCAGCTTCTTCTCGGCCGAAGCTAAGCGCCCTTCCAGGCTCAGCAGACGAAGCCCGGGACCGTCCGACGCCTCCGGGCCTTGCAAAGCCGCCCCGACCGGCCACAACGGCGCCTCCATCTCCCTCGCTCTGAGGTAAAAAGAAAGGAGTAGAAAGGGGAGGGAGGGGGGGAGACAGAGAAAGGCCGTCATGCCCCGCGGCAGTCGGACGGACAAGCCCCGCCCACCCAGAGACGCTCCGTCCGCCCCCCTCGCCTGCCCCGCCGTCTCTGAGGTGGGGAGAGAAACCTGGCGCAAGGCCTAGAGCGGCCGCTGCTTGGGTAGCGGACGACCCCTGCCGGCGGGAGGAGCGAGGAGTCGTACGCGCTCTTCCTCCGGTTGTTTTTTTTTTTTTTGAGCGGGAAAATTGTCTCCGCCTCAGAGGGAGCGTCGCCCGCCGAAGGGAGAGGTCGCGTCGGGCTGAGGGGAGATTCCTGAGGGGGGAGAGGAGAAAAGAGATTTCTTTTCATTTCCCTCTTTCTTTTGTTTCTCTCCCTATCCCTCTTTCCCTCTCTGTCCGTCTTTCTCTCTGAATAAGAGCATAATCTGGAGTGGCATGCAGGTATTTTGTCTTTCTCTGAATTAATTATGGTCTCAGGAATCACATTTAAAATCCATTTGACCAAACTCATCCCGATTCATGGCCTTCCAAATATTGGAAATCGGGTCTGCCTTTCATTGAAAGATCCATAAGAATAAAATAATTTTTAGAAGAGGCGTTATCAGGTAAGTTACCCAACGCCCTTTCTCTCTCTCTCTCCCTTTCCCTTTTGGTCTACCTCTTTCACTTTCTTTCCTTCACTATCTTTCCCTCTTCTCCCCCTTGCTCTTTCTATTTCTCCCTTTCCACCTTGCTCCATATTTCCCTTTCTCTTTCCCTCCCTCCAACCTCATCTCTAGCTTTTGTGATCAAGTGATGGGCACCTCAGGCTTAGCCCGAGCCCTTCATCTGTAAGCAATAGCAATGGCAGTTACACTTATATACCGCTTCATAGGGCTTCCAGCCCTCTCTAAGCGGTTTACAGAGTCAGCGTATCGCTCCCACAGTCTGGGTCCTCATTTTACCCACCTCGGAAGGATGGAAGGCTGAGTCAACCTTTGAGCCGGCAAGATTAGAACCGCTGAACTGCAGATAGCAGTCAGCTGAAGTGGCCTGCAGTACTGCACTCTAACCACTGCGCCACCTCAGCAAGGGAGAGAGGGTTCCATGACAGGCTATGAAAGGGTGAAGAGAGCTGGGATTGGGGGTGGGGGCAGGCTTCTCCTCAGGTGCCCACCCAGCTTCCATCAACAAAAAGTGGGATGGAATGAATTCCGCAATAGCCCCATGGCCATCTAGGGTTGTTGTGAGGTTTGCTTCCTATCCAGAAGGGACCCTCTTCAAAAGTCACGTTTGGGAACATTTGGCCTTTGTTATCTAGCCATCCATCCATCTCATCTATCAATCCACCCATTCATGTCTATCCCATTCATCCATCCTATTCAATCTATCGTATCTGCCCATGGTATCTATCCACTTCATCTCCATCCATCCTGTTCATCTACCCATCCTATCCTATCCTATATAATTTATTTGCTACACATCTTGCAATCCAGGTGATTATGAGTGGACAGTCTAAACAGCCCCGACTCCTTGGCATCCCTCAACTGCCCATCACTTGGATGGAAATGTTTGAGCCAGGATGAACACCACAGTTCATATCCAAGGATTTGGACAGGAGATGTTTGAAACAATTAACCATCAGACAGTTCTGCAGGTGCCATTGCATCTGCTTGATGCATGGTAGCCCTAGGAATGTGAAGGTTTCCAAGATACATGAAGTCCTTAAGTTATGACTAATTCATGACAATTTTAAAATGGAAGAGTCATGCGATAGGCTTAATTTTATGGTGGTGGTTAAACTACAATGGTTGTTAAGCAAACCAGTGCTTTGCTATGGGAATGGTTTTGTCAAAAACCAGAAGTAAATTTTTGATGAAAACAGCATAAAACGTGATCATGTGGCTGCTGCAAATGGCTGTTAGTGCAATCTAGCTGCCAAGTGCCCTATGTGTGATTGTGTGCTGCAGGTGTTGTGAGACCATTGGAACAAAGTCTGTCATGAGTACCTCCCCTGGTAGGTCCATCAGAATTTTGAATGGTCACTATGCAGCCAGTTGTAAGTCAAGGATTATCCATAAGGCTTCTCCAACTATCTTGCCTTCCCTCTTGTTTCCCTCAGTCTTTCTGAGCATAATCTCGAGTGGCATGCAGGTATTTTGTCTTTCTCTGAATTAATTATGGTCTCAGGAATCACATTTAAAATTCATTTGACAAAACTCATCCCGATTCACGGCCTTCCAAATATTGGAAATCAGGTCTGCCTTTCATTGAAAGATCCATAAGAATAAAATAATTTTTATTCTGAAACACCTTGTCAGCACATGGCCACTTTAGAGTGCCACTGTAACAAAAGAAAAATATTGCAAGGTCTGAGGGACAAAACAACTTGGGAGTGATTGGAGGAACTGAACATGTACAGCCCAGAGGACAAAAGTGAAAGGGGATACAAGATTTAAACCTTTAAATATATTAAGACTGTGAATAAGGTCCAAGAAGGCAGAAATTACAATATTAAGTAAAAATCAAGAACACAAGGGCATAAACTGACAGGAGAGAATTTCAAAAGTGATGTTAGAAAGGATTATTCCACAGAAGTAGTGGAAGCTTGGAACCAACTACCAGCAGATGTAGTGGGTCAATCATCAGTTACTGAGTTTAAACATGTTTGGGATAATATGTCCATCACCGGACAAAATAAAATAAAATAATTTTAAAAAACAAATACATTGAAACAAAAACAATCACAAAAATCTCAAAAGGGACTTCTCAGTCTTTTTCTGCAATTTCTATTTGCCAACATTGCTGATACCCAAGAACTGGAGCAGTTGATAATACAAACTCTGCTAAGATTTTATTGGCAGAACTCCAACAGAATTTGAAGCCAGCAAGTTTAGCACCTTGAATGGGCCATAGGATTAAAATAAAATAAAGTTCTAAATCAGGAAGATATGTNTTTGTCCCGAGGGCTGCGGGAAATAAGGACAGCATAAACCCAACATTCATCACGGTTTAGTCCCACCACACACATAGGAATGCACAGCACACCCCTCCCAAACCAGTATTTCTCAACTTTGGCAAGCTTCAGGATGGGTAGACTTCAATTCCCAGAATTCCCCAGCAGCCTGGGGAATTCTAGGAGTTGACGTCCATCCACCTTGAAGTTGCCACAGTTGAGAAATATTGCCCCGAACCATACCATCTTCTTTTTTTAAAAAAATGCTTTCTTTATTTAACAGTTAATGTAAATCAGCATTTCTCAACCTCAACAACTTTCAAATGTGTGGACTCCAGCTCCCAGAATTTCCTAGCATGGTAGCTGGAGAATTCTGGGAGTTGAAATCCACACAACTCACAAGTTCCTGAGAAATCATGCTGGGGATCACTGTCAATCCTTTGCTGAGATTTGATGTTGAGGGATTTGACAAAAAACCCAAACTCTGCAGTAAAACTTGAAAAGACCAAAGAATTGGGGTGAATGAAAAAAAACAGACCGACATTTAGAGGATTTTGAACAAATGATTCTGGGGGTGGCTTTTCTAAAATGGCTCTCTCTTGAACATAAGATACGGATATACAAGGCTGAATGCAGATAACACCCAGCAAATACAAGTGAAAAAAGCCTTCCTAATTTTACAAGGGACGTAGGTCCCATGCTTAACTTTCATGGATGGTGGCGCATGAGGACAGCTGAAGGAATGTTCTTGAGACTAGGCCGGATCGCTTGATGACAACAGTAATAATTTATTAAATTTACAGGCTGCCCAACTCTGAGTGAGTTCAGGCGTTTTACAAATTGTTACAAAAATACTTCGAACATTTGAAAACAATAATACAAAAAGGAAAAGGAAAAAGATGATGAAGGAATAAACCCAGATCGAACAAGGGAGAAGGGGGAGGAGGAGGAGGACGCTATATAGAGTCCTAGGTGCTCTCTAAGCTTGATGACTTTCTTGCAGACATTTCATAACCCAACAAGGTAACATCATCAATGCCAGAAGACTTACGTTAGAAGGCTTCTAGCACTGATGCTCTTATCCAGTTGGTTGTGAACCGTCTGCAAGAAAACACCCAAACTAAGAGAGGATTGAGGACCGCATAATTGTCATCGCCATCCTCCTCCTCCTTGAAACACCACCCTTCCAGCACTGATGATGTTCTCTAGGTAGATCATGAAACGTCTGCAAGAAAACTACCGCGTTGAGTGGAGCACTCGGAGCTTCTGTTGTTTCAGAGTTTGATTCAGAGACCAATATTGAAGAAGGATGCCAGAGAGTCAAAGGAGAACCAAATTTGGGTGGATATGACATGGGCATCTTTGGACTTTTGAAAATTATAGATACAAAGATTTTAGAGCAAACAGAAAGTTTCATTCAAAACTGACACACACAGATTTGCAATTATTTCACTGGCTGGAGTCACTCTGCAATTCATACGCGACTTGCCAAATTTGGGTCTAACCAGCCAATCCTGGCAATTTGGGGAGGCGAAGAAATAATTCATGGCTTGCTTAGCAGGTGATGCAACCAAGGACATTGGCTCCCTCTGAGAGGAACAAACCAGAGTAACTAGTTTGTACAACGCCCCAAACCTTCCATTTCCATGTTAGCGAAGCTGAAAACGTCAGTAGGACAAATGATGTTTGTTTGTGGCTAAGTCATATTATGGCTTAGTTTAAGCCATTTCCCCTCCCTGCCCAAAAGGAGAGTTTTCCTTTTCA